AGTGGAGCTGGGCGGAGTGAGACATGCATCTGGCTGTTGTCAGGTTACTATAGACCTCCATTATTTGAATGTCAGCAGACAGCAAGAAGCCTCCCAGATCTCCAGATGCATTTGAGATATCAAAAAAGTACTCCAGAGTGTTGTTCAGCATGGGGGTGAGTAGAAAATGAAGGCTAATCATGTTTTGGGTGTACTATTCCTTTAACTTATTGGTCTGTTTTTAGTCCAGTCTTGCAACAGAAATCCATGAGAGTTATAGTTTCAGGTTATTAGTAATGGCTGAAATTACTCACTGATTTTATTAAAGAGATATGAGAATTCCTACTTCTATACATTTTTGCAGTTACTATTATAAGCCAAATGCAATTCATCCAGGTCCTGAAGCATCAAAGCCTGCCTGACCATTGCACTACTGCCACCATGTTTGACTGTTTCCTTGAAGGCATTGGAATGGGATTTATCACAGCTAATTATGTGTTTAATAAATTGGGTATTTATATATTTTCACAAAAGGCCATGAATGGATAGCTTTTCCACCTTAGTAATTTATGTTTTATGTGCTATGTAACTGCAGTTTTTTCGTCTTGAGTTATTTTTTTCTGTTAATGAAAATGTATTTCATATTTTAAAATATAAGTTAAAAAAAACAAATAGAGAAGAAATCCATTTTGAGGCATGAACTTTTTCATAGCACTGTAGGCACATCCATACGTTTGGAAAAAAAAATTGTATTATTGCATATTGTATTAAATGCCTGTATCGTATTGAAGTGCTAAAGCCTAAATATCACTACAGATTCCATCCTTCACTGTCTTTTCTCACACCAGCAATTTGTTCATAAAACAAATTATGTCCATCCATCCTTTGTTCATCCATATTGCTTTCCCAAATGTATTAGACCACAACCACAGAATACCTAAGCCTTTGTAAACTTAACATACCCTTCATAATGAATGTTTGCCGTCTACAAACTTTACCATTCATCACACCCAGGAATGAAAATGTCAAACAAATTACATCATTGTTCCTTATTGATTTCTTTCATCCAAAACAAGATCCTTGGTTTGATAAAACCATGGAATCGATGCTCTAAAACAACCAATAAGAACTCACTTTGGTAGATTAAGTTTGAGAAACATGCTTACGGACAGGGAGAGAAATAAAAACTCTAAGAGGAACTTAGCCTTAGTTGTACAGTACATGAGATTCCATTCTGGTGTTTAATGTGATTTAAACTTTATCAGTATGAGCAAAGAGTTGCTGGACTATGACTTTGTTCTCGGTATTTGGCAACTTCTTTAATTAGTACTTTTTTCTCTCGGAGGAGTGGTTAGTATTTCCAGGCCCCATGCATTTAAGTTTTGTGTCTACACATATCTGCATAAATCTTTAGAGCCCACCTCCAGGAAAAGAGAAAAAGAGAGAAAGGATTGTCTTTCCACTGCTCCATCTTTATTTTTAGAGGCTGGATGTTGATGAGAGAGAATAGAAAGCAAGAGGGTGAGAACAACATCACAAGTGGGGGAAGGAGGGAGAAAGGAAAGTGAAGAGGGAGAGCGAGGTGGCCAGGGCGTTGTGTTGGTTCCTCTGTGTTTCAGGAGGCTGCACGTCGGCGAGTCCTTCCTCTGAGCGAGCCGTAGAGAAAAGGGGACGTAACCGCACCAACCTTTTAAGCGATGGGGAGCAAGAGGGTGGGTGTGGGGTCTCTGGAGCTACTGCCATATAAAAAGCCAAGTCTGAGAGCACGGCACCAACTCACCACACACACACATCCACACACACACTCACAGTGGCTGCTCTGTATCTCTCATGCTCACCCACTCTCATTATTCTCTCCCTCTCCCTCCCTCTGTCTCGCTCCCTCTGTCTCTCACTCCATTCCTCTGGGCTCTGCATACTTCTTGCTTCTTCTCACAAGTCACATTGTGTTTGTAAGTACGCGCTGAATGTCTCCCTGTGTATGCTTGGGTTTCCTTAAGTATTTTTCTATGTTTGAGTGACTGCTTGCCTACTTGAGTATGACTGAGTGGAGCAGTGAGCTGTATTAAGTGTATGTGGGTCTCTGTCTCACCCTCACACACTCGCGACTCCTCTTGCAACTCTTTCTGGGATCTCCGGGTCCCTTTCCTCGGTGACAGGCTCCCCACACTAAACAGTCACCATTTCCGCCCCCGGGAGACCCACGCTGGCTGCGCAGCCCCTTCCCCGACTCAGCATCGGGAGGAAGACCCTGGTGGCGGCTGCTGTGGGGGTTATGCTGGTCCTGGTGCTGGTGGTGCTCATCCCAGTGCTTGTCAGCTCCGTGAGTACAGATGCCAGCCATTATGAGATGCTGGGCACCTGTCGTATGGTGTGTGATCCTTACCTGAACAAGGGCACTCCGGCCAGCAGCACCAGCTCCACTGGTCTGCAGGGTGAGGCAGAGGCACTGACTGACCACAGCAATGTTCTACCACCGTCCACCCTGCAGCAGGGCCCGCAGGGAAAACCTGGCAGGCCAGGGAAGCCCGGACCACCAGGACCACCTGGACCACCTGGGCCACCTGGTGAACCAGGACCACCAGGGCCAGCTGGACCCCCGGGTGACAGAGGGGATCATGGAAGGACTGGGATTTTGGGTCTTGGGGGTAACGGAGCTATCAGCACAGCCACCTACAGCACAGTTCCCCGGGTGGCTTTCTACGCTGGGCTTAAAAACCCCCATGAAGGCTACGAGATCCTAAAGTTTGACGACGTGGTCACCAATCTTGGCAACAACTACGATGGCATTTCTGGCAAGTTCATCTGCAGCATACCTGGTACTTACTTCTTCATCTACCATGTGCTGATGAGAGGAGGGGATGGCACAAGCATGTGGGCAGACCTCTGTAAGAACGGTCAAGTGAGTACTTTAAAAGTTTTGCTGATTTCTGTTGTTCTTTCTTTTCTCCTATGTGGCGCTCCTGCTTAAAGATCCATGTGTGTCCAAAGTCATCAGAAAGCCTCAACATAAAAAGGGATATTGTGAAAGGAAGCGCAGCATTTGTAGTCCAGATAAAAGCGCAAAGCTGTGGCGCACATCAAGCCCAGAGATAAAAATAAAACCAACACCGAAAATATATAGCCTATATAAAAATAAAGAAAGAGGCAGAAGTGATAACTGGTTGCAAAGCGTATCTTCCTAGACTGATGCGTCCCGAGATAAACGCGCGTCTAAATCCAGGGGATGGTGCGGGCTGTGCGCTGAGAGCGCTCCGGAGATCCTCTTTTTGCCTGGTCCGTTTGTTTGAAATTAGAACAGCTGATCGGCAGTTCTTTGTAACAGGAAACTGTCCTTTGCATCACTTAGGAGGGGAGATACTGAGGTATTATTTTAAGGCTGCAAAAAAAAAAAAAAAAAAAAAAACACACACACACAGAAAAAACGCAATGATGTCCTCCAGTCCTTTATTTACTTTTATTTTGTATGATTAATTAATCAGTTCTGTTTTTATCATTAATATTTTCTGTGGAGTCGCATTTTTTTCTGTGACAGATTAAGTTTGGTAAAAACTGCTTCAGTAAAGGGAAGTAAATGCGCAACATCCAAGGAAAGCTTGACGGAGTCCGGTGCTTTACCCTCGCATCCACTTTCAAGGTCGAATTAAAAGCCTTTATGTGATTTTTCCCATCCTATTTGATGCTTTATTTTCTAATAGTATTGTGCGCCCTGAGGAGTCCTCTCCACAGGCGCATGTACACTTCACAACTTCCAGCTATCCAGCAGATCTTTTCTTTTCAAATGGCGCCAGCAAATTTGACTATAACATGCTTAGTTTTCTAAATGTTTTTTGCACTGAAAATAAATCTTATCTACATGTGTGGATATAACTCTATCCTTACTGACATAAATCACACAAAAAGGACTAATTAGTTACTTAATTACAGTGATCTCAAATAGGGCAAAACCCCCAAATCTAACAATTTCAGACAGGTGCTTTTACCATTTACATGTGAAGTTATTAGAAATGACAAATTCAGATGTCTTACTGAATTACCCCTCCCAAAATGTGTCTTTAATCTTTAAATTTATGCTGCAGAAGCTCAGCTGCTCTTTGTTTCATGTCACATAAAATCACAGTGAATTATGCACACAGAGACGCACTGATGTGATCAGAAATACAGCTGCTGGAAGACGTTCAATCTTTCTCAGCACATCAAGTCTCTCATAGATTGATTCTTACAATAAATTACAAAACCGTTTTAGAGGCTATTAGCCTCGTTTGTTGAGGGAAAGAGTAAAAAAACTGGAAATAAATCATGACAATTGCTTCAAAGAAAACCAACTTTAGACGCCATGTTTTCGATTAAAACTTTTTAAAGAGTATTTGCCTTTTATGATATACTCAGAAGATTACAACCAGATTTTACACTGGTGGGTTTACAGAGCTGATATCAGCTTGAACTCTCAGCCTGACTAAAAAAGGCAGAGGTTTATTCCTTCACCCCTAACTATATTCTTATAGAGAGTTATAGCAATCACCTTCTATGTATAATGCCTTACTCAACAGTAATGTTTATGGGTGGGTGTAAAAGCACTGATATATAGAATGGGGGGAAAGAACATATGTTCCTATAAAAACCCCTTCTGTTCCAGCCTCATTCCACTCTCAAGAGGAAGATGTGGAGGTACTTAAGTTAGCAGCATAGTGCTCATCTCCTGAGACCCAGGTAATGCTTAAAAAGTGGCAACTGCTGCTCTGTCTCTGTCCTCCTCTGTCCCATGCACCCACACCTTATGCATAAATGAGTAGTCCTCTCGCTGTTTTTATTAGGTGGTGTGCTGGGTTTAATGGAAGAGCCCTCTGAGTATTACTTTGTGTAAATGACTTTGAATGGTTATAAATATTTGTCCAACTTATACTTCTTCACTGATAAAGTGCTGAAAGTCGAGCAGAAGCTCCGGCAGCCTTGCTTGTGCTTTACTCAGCTCATTAAAACTGCAAAAAGCTGTTGTGTGAGAGGGGGACAAAGGAGGTATGGGAATTGTGAACAATACCGGTATTTTATCATCTTTTGGACATGGCGAAGTGTTGGGATTTTTAGAACCTGCACAGCAATGTTTTCACCTCAGCTTCTACTCCTTCCTAATCGCTAGGTTGCATTCTTTTTCTTAGCTTTCACTTGTGCTTCTTGTTACTTGGTACAAAGCCACAGAACAATTCAAGCAATTTCCCCAGAACTTTGACAATCTTCTGGGCCAGACATGAACATGTAAGCCATTCTTGCAAGTTTTTTTTTTTTGCTTTCTTCAATGCTTGTGCTTCTTGACTCTGAGCCGAGGATCTAAAAGTCGCCTTAATGAATCGATGTGTTGCTGTAATCTCTCTTGGACATGTTCTCCGGGGACCTGGCAATGAAGACAAATTTTAAGCGAAGGGGATAAGAAAAGACGCTGTTATTGTGCTATTGTGCCATCTTGTCGATTTAATTGTAATTAAAAAGCTTGAACCAGATCCAGGATGTGTTTGCTCCTCTCCTTTCAGTTCCCTTCTTAATATTGTTATTAATCCGCAAAAACCGTTTCAGAGTTAATTAAAAGCAATGACTTCAGCGTCAGTCTCAAGAGGACCATAGTGAATAATCACTCTGTCTCCTCCTTTAATAAGCTTCAACGTCCTTCGTGCACATGCCTCTTTCCTTGCAATTACCACTGCAGTCTCCTCCTTATACCTACACACAAACACCAACACACCCCCTCTTGCTTTACCCCACTTCTAACCCGCTGCCTCGACCCACCCCAGCGGTGTAGTGCCCTCCAACTCTCCTCTAAAGTTCACAAATGCTTGCAAATTTTTTTAAAGGCACAAAGTTTTCATCTCAATAAAAAGAAAGTTTTGTTCCAAAAAAAGTGGAACAAAAACTGGATCGTGACACCTTCCAATCGATTTCCTAAAAACGCATCACCTGTTGTATTGTTCATTGTTCTCAAGTGATGCATTGCTGTGTAGCTGAGTGAGTTAAAGCATGCTGCCTCCTCTCAAACTTTGCTTTTAAGGAAAACTTTTTTTTCTTTCTTCTTTTAACCATTAGGCTGCTTGGCTTTTAGTACAGTCACATGTCATTTAGTTGTCAAACCATTCGTCGCAGACCATCTCCAGTCGTAAAGGCTGCCTCCGGGAGGTCTTCAGCTCTGATACACATGAACACAGATTGTTTATCCTGTTGCTGCATATCCAGGTGAAACCCACGCACAGTGTTTAGCATCTGGTGACAATTCCAGTATTTAACAGGGGAGCAGAGCCATCTGTGTTGAGTGTCAGAAGGATGTTAATCATAAAAAGAGATGCCAGTAAACCTATTAACACAACAACAGATGGGTTCTCTTTATTTTTCAAACTCAAAACTCAAAGTAATCACACTGCTGCAATATTTGATTTGACTTCATTTATTTTAGCATTCTAGTAATGTTTCGACCTTTGATTCTTCGTTGTGCACTGAGGAGCCTTTGTGTGTTTGCTTGGTGTAACAGAGGCACTCTGTCTGAAAGAGACAAGCAGGGTTTGAGAAAGCCACCCTTAGTCCCTCAGCCTTTTTGCTTTTGGTATTGATCCCTTTATATGCGAGTGTATACGCGATAGTGCGGGCTTTTCTTTCCTTCCTCTGACAGACCTGTTTCTTTTCCCAATGTGTGTATATCATGGCACTTCTTCTATAATCAGCTTGAGACGTAGCGGAGGCGGACCTTTGGCCTTGATCTGCTGTGTAATTGGACATTGGATTTGACACTCTGCCGAGTGGAACATTAGAGCGGGCCTAATTAGGTGCGAGAGCTATTAAATGAAGATTGGCCCACGTTGTTAGAAAATACCACACAGATTGGAAATGTCAAGATGACGTCGGGCTGTCATATGGAAGCACGCTGGAGAAAATCTATCATTTCTTGGAGAAGCTTTTAAAGTTGTTTGAAAATTGCCCAACATTTTATCAGTTGTAATTCAATTGCTTCCTAAAATATTCACATCCTGCAAAGTTGAATCTCAATAAATTTTCAGTGTAATCACTTGGTTTGTGCTCATTTTGCAAAATTGCTTCATCAATGCAGTGTGGCATGGAGGTGACTGATCTGTGGCTCTGCAGATTGCTATAATAGCAGCCTTCAGATTGTCTGGATTGTTGGGTCTGGTGTTTTTCATCTTACCTGAACCATTACTCCATACATTTTCTATGGGGTTTGGGTCAGGGGAGGTTCCTTGTCAATTAAGTCTGAAATAACATGGTCATTAATAGTAATTTCAGTAGTGTTGGGGTCAAGTCCTGCTGGAAAAATGAAATCAGCATCTATTTTAAACCTTTTAGCTCAGGGAGGCCTGAAATGTTCTGTAAAGGTGGAAGAAAGCTATGCTGACTTAGGCTTAACACAACAGAAAATGACATCCACAAAACCCCCACTAACCGTGGACATTTCTTAACGGCTCTAAAGCAGTTTGGATTACATGCCTCTCCATTCTTCCTCCTCAGTCTATAAATTAAAATTTTGAATGAAACTAATTTGCTTTAAGCATATGTAAATTATGGAACACTGATATATATAAAAAATATATCCATCCTTTGTCCAAGTATGGATGGTGTCATGCTGTCTGAAAGTCATCGTCTGTATCGTTGACACAGGGTCTCCAGCTGCAGCCAACGCCTTTTAATTCTCTCTTAATTTCTTAAATGTTTTAGTTTTCTTACAGCTGTTTTCACCGTTACCTTTTTCTACTCATATTTGCCACTTAACTTTAGATAAATATGGCTGAATACAGCAACTGTTAACAATAAAGGTTTGTGGCTCACTATCCTTTCAAGTTTGCAGGCATGATTCTGTGCAGAACATTATTTTACCTTTTTGTCTTAATCATTATATTTATTCTATTTTTT